AATAGACTGAGGGAGAGATAAGTCTGGCATTCTTATACTCTGTTGAAGTTCAAAAGGAGGACATGATTTCAGATGAATCTTTTATGATTCAATTATAATTTTTTAGATTTAATCAGAAATTTTCTTTTTTATTCAAAATGATTGGCTGAAGTTTCAAAGGAAACTAGAAAGAAAATCAACATTTATTAAGCTGCTAGCTCGCCTTAATGGACTTGTATTTATCAGACCTTTTTATGATGGCATGACAATTTCAAGTAATTCAGTTTCAAAAACCTTGACAGCCAATAAGTTATATAATCTCAGTGTGTATTATCCAAATATGAGTTCCATATTCAGTTGATATTATTACCCACATGCTAATCCAAAGGTACACATGGACTGCCATTTGACATACACAAAAAGTTCAAACTTGAAGCTTTGAAGCATAAAATAAAGTGTCTCCGCAAGCACTAAATGATATAGAAAAATGCCCTTGCTAGAGTACTCATGACAGAGACAACACCTCTGAATAACCACTAAAATCCAGCTGGGTTTTTTTTCTCTCAAAATAAAGGAGCTGTCTTAAATACTAACAAAAAATCTTGGAAATGATAGGTGTATGTTTGAGAGCACTTTCATTTAGAAAATTCTTTATGTTTTGCAAAACACATAAGTGATAACTGGACTGGGAGGGTAAATTGAGGCCCCTGGGAGAGCGAACACTGGGCTTTAGTATCCCAGAGACAAAAACAAGGGCTGTCTGCAGAAGGACCTCAGGAAATATAAGTACCATACAAGGAAGGAGGAAAGCCATTTTACTCTGGAGAAATATTATTGCCAAATAGCTCAGCAAATGAGCTTCCTGTCAAACTAGTTTTTTAACTTCCTGTTTGATCTGTGTTGAGCACTTCCTTCCCCTGACCTATCCCCACACACAGCTTCACTCACTTTGTACATACTTCCTTTTTTATATTTCTCAGGACTGAAAAGTTTCCTGTTCTATATTCTGACCACTCCCCAACACCCCGTTTCCAGGTATCTTTTCTAAATTAATCCAGGGAGTGCCCCAGGAAAGGCTAGAGTGAAGGCTACCTGCTGTGGATTTAGCCATCCACTCACACACACCATCACCTCCACTGGCCACCCTTACTCCCTGTCCTAACAGAGGAGCTGAGAACTGATGGGGGTAACAGGGAGCTGACTGTAAGAGATAAGAACCCAGAAGGTTGCTGTTTTCTGGAGAAGGAAATGGCCAGGCTCAATGTTGTGGCACCTCCAGGTAGGTATCTACAGCTTTGCTTCACAAGACATTTGCAGGTGGCCACAACAGCCTCTCAGTGTGTGTTGTGTCCCCGTCCCGTTGCCCACCCCCAACCCCGTGCCTGAAAGGGGACCCACCCCCCCCCACCCCCCCCCCCCCCCCGCCAGTCCCAGTGGGCTGGAATCTCTCCCCAGCACTCTCCCCAACTCACATCAGCACCTGGTGTGCCTGGCTTGCCTGGTGCCCCAGGCTTGCCGGGTTCTCCTGCAGGACCCTGAGCAGGAAGGAGATGGAGAGAAAATGGAGCAAAGTTCAGACTCTTGGAACAGAGTGGCTATGAAATACATCAAAGAAGGGAAGTGGGGAGCCATGGCACCAGTCGACTTACCTGAGGGCCTGGGGGACCCTTTGGACCTCGGTCACCCTGGAGACATAGAAAAGAAGGTGAAACCAATGAGCAAAAGAAACTGGGGTCCCATGGGACAATTTCTGGCATGCCCACCACACAAATGTGGGCCAAGAGAGGGTGAGGGCCTAAAAGTAGAGGCTCATGATCCACTGGGCCACAAGTACAAGACTAAGTCTCTTCTCTAAAAATCCCCAGGCTATAGGATCAAATCCACAAATCTCACATCCAGGACTAAGTCTAGGGAAGTGACAGAAAGGGGTCGCCAGGCCCTCTCTAAACACCATCAGATACGCAGAAGTATGGGAAAGGGCTGAACTGGGAAACAAAGGAGACATAAACTTACATCAATGCCATCAATGCCAGGAACTCCAGGGGGCCCAGGAGGCCCTGGAGGCCCCTCTTCACCAGGAGGACCTCTCTGCTAAAAATAATGCACTTGGGTTAGTGGAGAATAGGCAACAACCTGAGCCACTAAGCAGCAGTCCTGCCTTCCTACCTCCACCAGTAAAGATGCCTCCCTGCGGAGGCTAGGTTTTTAAGACATATTAATATAATAAGTGTGTTTCCACCTTCTATGTTATAAACTGGCACGGGGTGGAGTCAGATTGATGTCCACAGAATGGGAGGAGGGAATCACTTGGCCTCACCTTCTCGGGTGCATTAAAAAGAAGGGTCTTGGGAAGGAGGATCTAATGCCCATTTTCCCCAAAAGGAATTTAAAAAGAACATGGGGGTCATTTGATACCTCCATTGAATTGCAGGCCAGTGTTTTTTCTCAAATTGAAGAGGTAATAACAGAGAAACTCCACTACCCACAGTAAACACTATCACTTTGGAAATCTTTCTTTGTGGGGGTGGGGGTGATTTTTAAGTTTGGGAAGCGTTGGGTAAGAAAGCCTGGAACCAGGCGTCTGGCTTCATTTTAGTTCCACTTGAGTGGCACTACCTCACAAGAGGTCTTTGACCTGCTTAGAAACCACCTCACACTTCAAAAGGACCCTGGCCGGCGAGCCCTTTTCTCCTTACAGAGTGCTACATATTGAAGGTGCTATAGGGAATTTGGCACCTGAAACAGTAGGAACTTGTTGCTCTACCATCCCTGCTTCCTTCTGCTTCGGGAGTGAGGAAGGAAGGGATGGAGAGAGGGGGAGAGGGAGAGAGAAAAAAGCTTCTTTCATCAAGGAAGACTTTGTTTTCCTAAACTCCACAGACCAGACAGGTTACAATGGGGTCTTTGTAAGTGAAACCTCAAACCTCTGCTGGCTCCCTGAACACCAGTCCTTGGGAGAGATGAAAAACAAGGCCTTGAGGAAAGCTGCTGGAATTCTGAGGGATCCAGGGCTGCTGGGCTCCATCCTGCACCTTTAGCAGGACTCACTGAGCAGGACTCACAGGATTTAGTGGCTTCTCCCATGGGCAACGGGAGCTAGACTGAGCCTACCTGAATTTCTGTCTTACCCAGAAAGACCTGCCTTGACTGTGATGTGGACTGGGGGAGGAGGGGTGAGTAAGCAAAAGCAAAGCAGGCTAAAACTTAAGCCCTAATCTTGAGTCACATACTATCCCGAGTATTGGCTTTTGGGGTTAGGATCAAAGTGGGGGAGAGGGGCCCCTTTCCCGGAACACAAAGAAGTCATCTAGGGCCCCGACTTAGACATTTGCTGGAGATACTCCAGGTTGCCCGGAGACCTGTCTGAGATCCCTGAGGATGCTCTGTGCCTTCCCACAACCACAAAGGCAGCACTGCCACCTACCTTTCCTGTTACACACTTGGAAAATGCAAATATTTTTGCCCCCAGCTTACCTCCTCGGTGGTCTGGCTGGGCTGTAGACAGAAAAATGGAGACAAAGTGAGAAGGTGTCCGGCAAACTCCCATACAACTTACTTGAGCAGCGCACAGGCAGAGCAGGGACAGCAGCAGTCGTAGCCCAAAAGCTCCACTGCCCCTTGCGGTCCAGGCCATGTCAGTCTCTCTCTGCTAATCCTGGGTCAGAGTTCTGCGGTCTGACACCCTCTAGGCTTCAGGATCTCTACTACATGCATAAAGTGGCACTTGGTCCCGCAAAAAAGTGCACCAGAGTACTGGTTGCAAATGTGTTTTGGTCAGGGAAACCTAGGTTTTTTCTGTTTATGAATGGCTCTGGAGAGGGTCCAGGGGATTGGAGGAGAGCTAGCAGGCCTGGGAGGACGGATAAAATGACAACAGTCCCCTTTAACCCTTTCCTGGCAGTCACACAGACAGGCCCTGAAGGGTGCAGCTCTTCCCGAACACCATGAATTCTACTGCAGCCTTTGACTGACCTAGAGAGCCTGCTGGAGGGTCTTGTGCCCCTATAGGGGGGTAGTCCTCCAGTGCTTTGAAGAGATGCTTGGGAGTGGGGATGGTGAGGCCACCAAAATGAGTGACAGACACCAGTCTGCTAGGTGATAGTTTTCACCAGTCTGGAAGCAAGTGGGACCTGTTTCCTTAAGACCTGGCTAGTCAATGCAACAAAGCACTACTCTAGGTAAATACAAAGCGGGAGGCAAGGCAAGGAGGTAGGAGGCTGGTAATGTGGAGGGGGGTGAGACAGCAGAAGTGGCCTTTGTAGGTGATGGAGGGACTCACTGTGATTCTGACTGGCAGCTCGTGGCAAGTTTCTCTCCTGGGTCTCAGAGGGTCGCAATGGATCAGCATCCACTGGAGTTCAAACTGGTGAAACACAGCAGACAGTCAGTGGGTTATTTACAAAGGAGGGTTTTTGTTTAACCATGGTTTAAAAATTCTTAACAGTATAGAAACCAACTCAGACTTACTGAGCTCAGTGAAGCAAAGCTCTAGATTTTCCATGAGTACACAATATCTAATGGAAATGGGCTCTATGCTCCTCCCAACTTTCTCTGATCATTGAATGCTCTAGTTTACTCCAGCCAGGAAATAAGATCACTAACGCGGATTTCCTATTTCTGTTCCCATCACAACCTCCAGTGGTTGATTCTATTAAAAAGCAGTTCAGCAGGAGCAAAGAACTGCTCTGAGTCATAAGCCAGTAAGACTGAGTGCATGCCCAGGAAACCAGGCCTAGTGAGGGCCACAGGACATATACACTCTAACACTTCACCTGGGAGATTACAGACAGAGATAGCAAGCTGTGACAGCTTGGAGAATAAGCAGAAAGAAGAATGAAAACCTAGTCCTGAAGAAAGTGCTCTCCCTGGAGTGGTCACAGTGCAAAGAGCAAGGGCTAAAGGTGGAAAGAATGAGAGAAATCTGGAGTTGGGGAAGGAGTTCAAAATATTTAAATTCTAAATTCTGCATAGTATGGTTTATTGGATGAAGAGAAATAAACTTCTAAAGATTTGAAATCCAGATATTTTATTTGGGTAGAAATTTTACAAGGAAGGTGGAAAGTCGAACAGAATAAACTTTTCTTTAATGACTGTTGCATGTATAGCATTTAAAGCAGTTCCCAGATGGATAAAGTGGGACAGTTGTCAATCTTTCTTATGAGTTGACATAGATCAACTCATTCACAATAGATCATTCAGATAGGAAATGGCAGGGAAAATCCTGATTCTTCTAACACTAAAACTGAGAATATTTTTCTACTGTGCCTCTCAACACTCCTAACACCCACAGTGCATCATGGTTTTGAAACAGGTAGGCAAATATTTGTCAGTGGAACATTTATATTAAAGAGGAACAGAAGGGAGAGCACTGGAAGGTAAAACTGTGGTAGCTTAGTCCTGCCATTTTCTAGAAACTTCAGGACTAGTTCAAGAAACTTCCATTAGGAGTCTAACTTTTCCTATTTTCTGTTTTTTATTACACAAACAGAATTACTAGTGTTGTTCTAAAAACTGACAGCTGTGTCTGTGTGCAGTTACATATTCATGGGTATGACAAAATATCACATAGAAAGGAGAATTACAGTTCTTTTCCCCCAATGACTAGATATGAATTTTGCCAGAATAGGAAAAGACTTATTCTTCCTCCTCAATCCTCAAAATAAAAGACTACTCACACAATTTTATTCACTACCTCCTTTGTGAACTGGTAACCCAAATTAGGCTTGCATTGTAGGTATGTGAAATTTTAGTTTTGAAAAATAATTCACCCTGATAAACATTCATTATATGGCTACCAAGGAAACCTACATCCTTTGTTTGGATAGTTCATCAAAGTTACTTATTACAAGTGTGAAGTAATTCATTAGGCTGTCTTCTCACAAATGTAGTACTTTCTGGATAAATTGTACACCTGTTTAAATATGCAAAACTGCAGTTGTGGCACAAAATAATGGGGAAATGAAATGTATCTCATCTGTGAATACAGGCCGCGCTGTTCCAAGTGCCACACAGTTCGAGGGTATCTGAACACATCTGCGCATTCACATAAACACTACCTACGCACTAATAATCATCTATACAACAACCATTTTTGGCATGCAATATGTATTCTAGTTTGCATGCTAATTATTTTAAGGAGGATTGGCAGAGTGCTTTGGTAAAAGTCACTTTCATTATACAGCTAAAATGCTGATTTCCATGTTTCTCATTTTAATACCTGGAACCATTTTTCTCCTTGAATACTCACTTTTCACTTTGAATGTATGTGACAAATATTTTAATTTAGTCCTTTAGGCAACATTCTTACTTATCCCAGGATAAGCCACACAGTAAGGAAATGGTCTATATAAACCAAAGATATTCCCCTCTCTACAATCAGTTTACAGTTTTTAAGATGAAAAAAGACGAATAGAGAAAACTTTAAAAAGCGATTAAGCAGAACCTAATATACCCTAGGAATATGTGTCCTATTAAAATATGAAATGCTTCTCCATTCTCCCAAGGTTAACTGAGTGATGTGGGTGTCAAAAACCTCACATCTGTTCAGATTTAGCATTATCCAACTCGTTTCTAGAATATATTAAGATAATTTTTTTCCTGAAGCTAAAGTAATGCCCCCCAATGATAGATTAAAGCGAGGAATTTGGGCCCCAACACTCTACTCTTTGTTAACAGGTCTAGTGTTCTACTTAGTTTTCTAGATTGTTGAGAAAGATTATTGAATATTTTTTAATCAACTGATTTATTTTTATGTGTGAGTGTTTTGCCTGTATGTATATAAGTGCAGTACATGTGTACAATGTCCAAGGAGGCCAGAAGAGGGCATCGGATCCCCTGAAAGTGGAGTTATGATGGTTGTGAGCTGCTATATTGGTGTTGGGAATTGAAGTTAAGTCTTCTGCAAGAGCAGCCAGTACTCTTAACCACTGAGCTGTCTCTCTAGCCCTGATTATTGAGTATTTGAACTTGGTTCTAGATTAATAAGAGTGCCACATTCTTGATTTACACAAACTGAATTATGTTCATGATTTACAAGCATGAAGCAGTAGCTAAATTAATTATAATAATTAATAATGATATTAATTAAATTAATTAAAATGAATACTTTGAAGATATTGTTTGCTAGCAAGATAGAAGCTTCATTAAGTTTCTGTCTAGTCAGCAATGAAAGATATTTAAAAAAATACTGAGGTCTCAGATCTCACTCTAATTTTCCACTTGTGAAGAAAGGTGAGTTTCTACCATCATAAAGACACTCCTCTAAGTGACATTTTCCAGTTACTGAACGGGAGTCTGTGAGCTACCTTAAAATCAGAAGTCTCCCCAAATCTATGCAGACCGAGCCATGCAGCTCCAAACATAGTGCTGGAAATGCAATTAAATATGTGTATGTGGTACTCATCTGATTACAGAGAAGGCTGGGGCAGCATGGTGAAAGGAAGAAGCAGCAGGAGTTAGCAGACCTGGAACACAGTCATTTATTTATTCAATATATTTATAAAATGGCCACGTGCTTTGAGGAAAATACTGTGGAAGACACAAAAATACCAAATATATAAGACCATACCTAAACTAAAATTGCTTTTGGCAAAAATACTATAAACAGCTGAACTGGCAAAAATATTTTTCTGATTAAAATTATCATGTGACATGAAACTTTAGTTCCAGACAGCAATTAAGATTTTTATAAGCAGATGGGAGATGGGAGGATGAAGTTAAGGTTCTGAAGAGAGAGAACAGGCCAAAGGCCCAAGGGGCAGTTAGCAGTGTACAGACAAGAACCCAGACTGGCTGGAGCAGAGCAGACATCTGGGTCTTTCACATTTTGAATCCTAAGCTAAGGAATTTGAAGATTTTGAGGAGATAATTATCAGATTGTCATCAAAGATTTTTCCTCAGTGGGAAGAGGTGACTGGATTTATGAGGGTATTTTGAATCTTCAATGGGAAGAGGACTAGATTTATGGGGGTATTTTGAGTCTTCAATGGGAAGAGGACTGGATTTATGAGGGTATTTTGAATCTTCAATGGGAAGAGGACTGGATTTATGAAGGTATTTTGAATCTTCAATGGGAAGAGGTGATTTGTGAGGGTGTTGTGATGAGAGTCAATTGATCATGCTTGCTTGTTACTTCCAGGCAGGAAGCTACTACAGGAAACACCAGGAAGTGCTGCAAGTTTCCCACCTCAAGATGAAGGACTACAGGCAACCAATGAATGCTGAGGGAGGGAGAATCAGTTTTCTCCAGGGACTAGCTCCCTGAGAGGTTATCTAATCCCAAGTGGGCAGCCCTAAACACAGGTACACATGAACACCTCTAAATGGACTCAGGGCATTATGTGTTTGTGAATGTATGCATGTATATATAACAATAATAATCAAAGAGGACAAGAAATTGAGAGGGAGTGGGGGCATGGGAGGAGTTGGTGGGAGACTTGGAGAGATAGAAATAATACAAAGACAACACTCATGTATGAAATTCTCAAAAATAAAAAAAATTTTAAGTTAAAAAATAAAGTTGCAAGCTGAGCTACAATGACACATCCAAGCTCTCTGCTGAGAAGAAATTCCTCTCCTTCCATATCCTCTTCAACTGCCATTCTATTTTCTACTCATCTTTATATGGAACTCAAAACTCAGTCTCCATTCCTCTCCTTGTTTTCTCTTGAATCCTTTCACGCTGAGTTTTCATCCCCAACAGGCCAATGGATCTTTCACCAACTCACCATCAGTGGTCTCAAAAACTAGCCATCAACTCTCAGTCTTCATCTTAAGTGACCTCTCCAGCATTTGAACCAATTTCTTATCTCATCCTCCTCAAAATGGTCTTTTATTCTTGACTTTCAGGACACTACAGCCTCCTGTTTCACACCCCTATCACAGACTCTTTATTCTCAATTAAGATGCTGGTTATTTCAGAACTAATCTGTCTGCATCACACTCATCTCTTGATGACTTCATAGCTTTCATAACACAAACATGTTCACAACTCCAAGGTGATACTGCCTCTTGATCTCCAAAAGCTCATGCTTAACTGCCTCCATAGCCTCTTCCCTTAGATACCTAATAATGCCTAATGCCTATCAATCTTATATGTTCTAAGCCAGTTGATAACGTTCTTGGTGCCTGCTGTTCCCATAGTCTCCCAAGTTGGTAAATGGCAATATTATACTTCTAAAAACACCAAAAATATTAGTATCATCCTGACTGGGTTTTTTCCTCTTGTACCCCAAGTCCTACTTTGTTTTCTTCTTAATCCTCCAACTGTTGTGATCTAAGCACTTTGAATCAATCTACCACCAAAGGAAGAACTGTTTCTACCTGAATTCTTGCAGTAGCTACCAAGTGCCTCTGTCCTCCTTT